GAGTCTTACTCTTGTTGCCCTGCTAGAGTGCCATGGCATCAGCCTAGCTCACAGCAACCTCAAATCCCCGGGCTCAAGCAATCCTCCTGCCTCAGCCTCCTTAGTATCTGGGACTACAGACATGTGCCACCATGCCCGGCTAATTTTTTCTGTATATTTTTAGTTGGCCAATTAATTTCTTTCTATTTTTAGTAGAGATGGGGTCTCACTCTTGCTCAGGCTGGTTTCCAACTCATGAGCTCAAACGATCCACCCTCGTCGGCCTCCCAAAGTGCTAGGATTATAGGTGTGAGCCACCGCACCCAGCACATATAGGCATTCTTGCGTTTGCCTTGCGTATGTATCTGGAGCCACACAGTATTCGACAACTGTTAAGCCCACAAAATTAACTTCTGCCTGGAAGTTTTTATAAGGAATCTTGGATTGAACTTTTCAAAGCCTCTGTTATTTGCTATCCCAAGGCTAGAAAACGAAGGCCAAGAAACTCTCCTCTATATTTCATAACTTCAGTACTTATAACCTCGGTCGAATTCCTTGAGGTTTCCAGCATTTGTTAGGTTCCTAGCCTGGTACCTTCCTTACCACCTGTAAGGCCAGGACCCTGCAAACCAGGCACCAGACCAGTTTTTCTGAGAGGCCCTTTTAGGCCTTGGCTCCGCGAGCTCTTAAAGTGGCCAGTCATACTTGATTCAATGAGCATCATTCCCAAATATGACGTTCCTGGTAAGTGCTTGGTTGTACAATTGATTTGCATGTTTCCAGCGTGTGGATAGATTCTCATTGAATCTATGCAAACAACTATATGGCTATGAAAATTAAGGAGATTCAGGAACAGTTTTTAAATTCTGGGCAATGAGAACTGAATATCATTTTTAAATGTTTTGATTTAGTTTATACAAGCAGAGTTTACTAAATTGTAGGTTAGAGATAGCTTAAAAAGTAAGAGAAAAGGCATCCTCATATATCCAGAAAATAGAACATTAAAACATCAATAGTATTCCAGACAAATAACTGGAATGAAATTTCCCTCTTCGGTTCATTCAGTCCTGTGAATGAACTGTAATTAATTTTGTTCTGATGGCTCTCGGTTTAGCAGTCCACATTCATGAAGCCATCTGCATCCAGACTAAAAAGACTCCAGAAATCAACTAGCACAGATTAAAAATGATCTAAGCAATGTTAGCTCTGCAGCCTGTGCCTAAGAGTCTATTCTTTGAAATATCAATATTTCAATACCTAGTATATATACTCCCTTTCCATGAAACTCTGAGGCGGTCCTTTATTAAAGTCAGAAACTCTGCCTATAGCAGAGCCTTCAGGCAAGGATTGGAGTCATACAAAAATTATCTGTAGATTATGGAGACTAAGTGATTTAATGGTTAATTTGTCACTGTGATCAATAATAGAATGGGAGAGAATAACATTTTCTTTTGGGGTACCCTACATAACTATTTCCTAAGAGTTTTCATGAGTATTTTCCCTAAGGATAAAAATATAGGCAATAATGCATTGGCAAGTCTCCATGGTCTTCCAGTAAAACATACATCTGAAATATTTACATTAATAACATTTTTCTTAAACTGACTTAACCTAGGGAAAGCTGAGCATCTCTTCTGATCTGACAAGTCTTCCCATGCCACTCTTTCAATAGTAACACATCTAAGAAATGCAATTACTTAAAGCATCTCTCTTTTTGTAAAGTGAAGGGATAAATCTTTATGGTTTTCCAGGAGCTCTCTGGGAAATCTTAAAGAGAGTTTTAGGTGTGAAACACATCCTAAAAATTTTATCTTATTTTTTCAACATACAGGGTTCAATTTGGAAAGACAAAACCAAAAGAATTGTCAGAAGAGTTTTAGGTCCTTGGGTAAGATAGGCGCACAGGTGCTCAAAAAGAAAATACTTGCTTATCTATATAATCAAAGCAAGACAGCACTTTAAAATAAACATAGAAAATAACGCAATTTTAAGGAATTTAGCTCTTTTCACAAGTGAGGACCCTTTGTTCTTTTTTTTTTTCCTTAAATAATCAAGGACATTAATCAAGTCAACATAAAGCACTGAAAATAAATCCTGGTGAGACACAGAATCTCTGCTAACTAGGCAGATTCCACAGAAGGTAAAGAACATCCTTTTTGCATTGTAGTCAAAGGCATTAATCAGTAGCTTAAGGAAGCAAGCCGTCAAATCCTAGGGAACTTTGCCAACAATGTAATACATTTTATAGCTTTTTTTCAGACTCATGTACTTTAAGCCAAAGCAAATAAAATTCACATTCCAAGTTTTGTCCTTCATTTCTCTCTTTCATATTCCAGAACAAATTGACACCTCAGGATTGCCTTTTTCACCCTTATTCTTTCAAAAATATACTGTGGAGTTTTCTTGCCACTACATGAGTGATACCATAATAAATGCAGAAAAAGATGAATATCAAGCTGTCCTATTAAGCTAGATGTTAGAAGATTGCAAAAATATTATTTTTATCTTTCTTTTCAAAATTCTTTTGTTTTGGAAAATATATGTGATTTATATTAAAATTGAAGGGATTTATCATTTCTATTTTCAAATGAGTCAATATTTTTAAAATTTCTCAGTTTTAACTTAAAATACAATAAATATCAATAGTTATCACTTATTTAAACCCAAGCTCTTTGGTGTCTTCTATTAAGTTTTGAGAGTGTAAAGGGATTCTGAGATCAAAGAGTTCTAAAACCACTGTTTTAAGTCAAAACCATTCTTTTTCATTCAAAAACAGATGTACATACACAGTTGTATTTCTTTTTCATTATTGCAAGTGGTGTAGTCTCAAACACCCATTTGAATTATAATAATTAACCAACATGCTAATTTACATTTCATAGAGAAAATTGGGAAGAGGTAGGATATGGAACAATTGAGAGCTGCCACACACACGCATTTTGGTAGACTAGCAAAGCTCATGAACACAAATAACTGAAATTTACACTGTGACATACTTTACTTTTACATCTCCTTAAAGTAGCAAAAAATGAACTCATTCATTGACACAACCTAAAAGTATAGCTTCACTATAGCATATAAAAATAAGAAGCAAACATATATAAGCTTAATATTATACTTTGTAATCAAATTTACAGTATTCTAACTTTCTTAGAAATTATCTAGTTATCTAACAATTATCTATCAATTAGCTCAAGTTAACATTAGTCTGTTTAAAGCTACCTGAAGGCTATAAAACATAACTACTGTTTACATAAAAAGTTTGTCAGAATAATTATTCAATTTAATTGAACACAAATTTATATTTTCAGTAATCTGAAATATTATATAGGGTAATATGAGCTTATTTAACCAGTTATCCTGAATAAATTTGGGAGAAATAAATCCACGTGAAATAAAATGTGTACTTGTTTTATACTTAACACTGATAACTCAGAAAAAGATATAACTGCTTTTTTTGTTGGGGGGGGGAGACAGAGTCTCACTCTGTTGCCTGGGCTAGAGTGCCATGGCATCAGCCTAGCTCACAGCAACCTCAAACTCCTGGGCTCAAGCGATCTTTCTGCCTCAGCCTCTCAAGTAGCTGGGACTACAGGCATGTGTCACCATACCCGGCTAATTTTTTCTATATATTTTTAGTTGGCCAATTAATTTCTTTCTATTTTTAGTAGAGACGGGGTCTCATTCTTGTTCAGGCTGGTTTTAAACTCCTGACCTTGAGCGATCCTCTCACCTCAGCCTTCCAAAGTGCTAGGATTACAGGCGTGAGCCACCATGCCCAGCCTATAACTGCTTTTTAAAACCTATCCGACTAGTCTCATTTGCCAAATGAGATTTAATTTTATGAATTTGGAGTCTTAAAATGTTACTGAGTTCGTTAGCAGTTTTCATAAAAATAATTTTTAATTTTAAGTCTAGTACATCAGAAGTTCAATTTCCTTATTTTCTATGAATATAAAGAGTATTCAGTTTATATAAGCACTTGCTTATAAGCCAATCAGAACAAGTTTTTTAAATTTAAAAGGTGCTGTAATCGGATTTATTAACGCCCTGTGGAAATAGGAAAGTATTCCATACACAACAAGAGGTAAAGGGCTTTCTGGATAATAGACATTAGACATACAGAGCTTAATAACTTTTGTTTTACAACTTTAACTATAGAAGTAGACATAGAAACACAAAAAAATCACCAGTCCAAATATCAAAGAACTGTTCTTCTTCCCAGTAGGCACAAAACTCCTAATTGATTTGAGCTCAAAACAGACAAACATCCAAACAAAAGTGACCAAGAAACCAGATACCCTGTTCTCTCTCGCCCAGTAGAGAATAGATCTCTATAATCCATTGTTAGCAATCATCAAATTGTCAGACCATAAAACTGAATTCTCCATCATTTTTGCCACCAAGAGGGAATAGCCTGTCAGCCATGCATGAACTAGAAAGAAAAATAAGACACAGATCAGGAGAGAAGGAATAAAAGCCAGAGAAACAGAGAATCAGTGAAATTCAAGTCCATTAATGCTTTGGATTCGCTCTGGGGGCCAAGAAAAGGCGCGCCTGGGTTCAAGCCACCCGGGAGGGGCACACTTCGGGTGACAGCGTACCTGCCTCCATCAGGAAAATCCACAGGGCATGTCGATGGGTGGCCTCCAAAGCTCTTAAAGGATAATTTTTTTTAAAGTAAGATCACGACTCTTGAACGGTGAACATGTGCCACAAATATTCATTATTTAAGGAAGGCAGGAACTGGTAAGAAGTTGCCACCAGTTCAACAATCAGCTTTTTTCCTTAAGTGTTGGTAACTGGCAAAGACGACCTCGTCCTGGGGCCTGAGCATGTTAAAGACTTATTTTAAATCCTGGATACTCTGCTGACCATTATTAGCAATGTTGGCAATTCCGTCGGGTTTCTATGATCTACACCTGGGGCTGAGGGGCGAGTGTGCACATGGCTGATTTTGCTGAGGTTTCTGCCTTTGGTACTTTCATTTGCCGTCCTGAAACCCTGGGTTTCTTTCGCAGTGACAAAGTGCAGGCCCTCTCCTACGCGCAGCACACGCGGCAGCTCATCTCCTGTGGCGGTGACGGAGGGATCGTCGTCTGGAACATGGACGTGGAGAGGCAGGAGGTAGGTTGGCTCCACCTCCCCTCCTGCTTATTGCTTATTTCCTTTATGATTAAGCCATGAAATAAGACATGTAATGTCAGAGAATTAAAAAATTATAGCATAAAAACTGTTTCTATTTTTTTACCCCTCACAAATTAGCATGCAACATTAATGTGATGGAGATTTTGTAAGAATTTTGACTGAGACTAAGCTGTTTAGACTTTAAATCTGTTACACCATTCACAGCAGAAGTACAGGTGAGAAAAAGGAACCATCTATTTTCCGGTGATTAGCCCTTTGGTATAAAATGCCCCACAAAACCAGAAAACTCACGTTCTTTATGCGATGGAGGGAACTGGTGGCTGAGATGAAGTAAGAATGTGTAGTTTGGCATTAATAGAGTTATTAGAAATAATTTGTGCTTCTTCATGAATCACATTCTAAACAGTTTCCCAGATATAAATATATATTTGGTCTTTATAAAGCACACAGTTAAATTTTTATACTTTTGTCTTTCTTAAGCACATATTTAAAATTTTTTTTATGAGTTTTCTTTTTGATCTTTGAGCATCTTAACAACTTACTGAATATCTCCTTTGACAAGTACTTTGAAGTTAACCATTTTCCCATTACCCTGGAATTATTCTGGGTAGACTTTTCCTTTGACAGTATACATTCTTCTAATTTAATTCTTGCAGAATGCAAGAATTAGAAAAGCAACACTTTGAAAAGGCACCTTCTTTCCATGTCTTCACCCGAGTCTCATTTCAAGAGAGTAATCGCTGTTACCCACAATGTAATGCTGTTCAAATGCCAGTAATTAAATGCTTAGGAAGATTAAAGCTTTATTTGCTCAGACCATAAATCCATGGGAGTTCTATTAGTAACTAATTAAAATGATCATTACTGTTAGGAAGTGGGGAACTATAAGATATTGCTTGTTAAAAAGTCCACTTGGCACCATGAGCATAAAGGCAGGGGATGGGTACAATGATCTCTCGGTTGTGCTAACCAGGCCCCAGTGAGACCAGTGATTGTGTCCTGGGTTGGGTTTTACATGCTAGCCTGCTTTGAGTTAGGGACAGCACATCTGGTCTGTCTTGGCTTCTTTCCAGGCCTAACTGACCAAAAGGGAAAGGGAGAACAAACAGATTCTTTGCCCTCAGTGCAAGTAGCCTCCACCCTTTATGGACAGAGGCTCACATGGGAATAACCATGTGGTTTCCAGAGATGAAACCAAGCGGTGATGCATAGCTTTTGAGCATCTTGATTAAATTCTGCCTCTGGACATGCAACTATATGGGCACCGGATACTTGTTGACTGATTTAAAATCTTGTGGAGTGAGTCAAAGCTCTAAGCAGTGGAGATGGTTCCATTCATTTTTTGCAAGTATCATTTTATAAACAGAAATCTCCTGAGTTGTTTTTGTTTTTGGCAACTCAGTCTCTGTGGAGCTGCTTCCTGGTTATGAGAAGTGCTGTGTGGTGCTCACCTTTGTGGTCTGAGACATAATGAAGCAGTCCCTAAACCTGAAGTAGTGACAGACTTTCTGCAAGAAAAGCCATGTAGGAGAAAACTTCAGCATGCTATTAAATGGTACATGGTAAAATTACAGTTGATCTAAGATAAGACCTAAGTGCTGAGTATTTTGGAAGGGATGTTATCATTGTGGCTAATGTTCTTAGCAAAGGTTTATGGAAGGACATGGTGCTGAAAATGGATAGAGTCTGGACATGCTCTGGCAAAGCATTGTGGGCTTTGCAGGCCAAGAAACACCAAGAGCAAGAACAAGGTGAATGTGAAAGGTTGCACACAGTGCATTAGTTCTCGTGAGCAGTTTAGACGCAGTCGGAGATGAGAGGATGGCAAGTATCTGAAAGATAAGGGCAGATAGTGGAAGACCTTAAGTGGCTGAATGCAGATTGTGTGACAGCCTGTAAGCGAAACAAGTATTTATGCAGTCCATTAAATTCATTTTTTAAAACTTTAATCATTTTTAAGTATATATTATATATAATACATGTTCTTTGTAGAAAACTTATAGAATGCTCATTAGCAAATAGAAAACAAGTCAATTGCTCATAATACCACCATGGAGAAATTCCACCCTTAACATGTTGGCAAACATCGTCTTTAGGTTTTTCTTTACACATATGCATGGGCGTAAGATTTTTTTTAACAAAAAATGGAATCATACTACACATGTTGATTTATTTTTTTTCCCCTCTCCTGGTCTTACTCCCAATTCCCTCCTCGTAGATACCCACTGTGATGCATTTGATAGGTGTCTTAAACATGCATGCTTCTTTGTGTTCCGTGTGTGTGTGTGTGTGTGTGTGTGTGTGTGTATGTGTGTGTGTATTTTAAAGTTTCCATAAATGATGTTGTACTACAAGTCTGTTTCCAGCTTCTCCCACAGAGCCCTCTTTGAGCTCTCCCCACCCTGCCACGTGTGTTTTGGGGTGTTCCTACATAGCATCCCATAGTGTGTAGAAGTCATATTTTACTTCTCTGTTCCCCAGGAATAGGACACATAGATTGCCATGGACTCCCACACACAGTGCCCAGATGACCTTCTCGTACATGTCCCCTCACAGGCCTGTGTGTCACTCCCTCAGGGCTGTAGACCCAAGAGTGGGATTGATTGAAGGTGTATTCTTGATTTTGCTAAATAACCAAAAAGCTGTACCCATTTTTACTTCTAGAGGAGGACAGGGAGTTTCCTGATACCCCGAATCCTCAGCAACAGTTATTGTTACTCTCTTTCTGCTTTTGCTCTTTTAGAGACAGGGTAAAATATTGTCTCATTTTTATTGGAATTCTCTGCTTATCAGCAAATCTGAGCCTCTTCATATATGTTAGCCATTTGGCTTCCCTGTCTATGAATTACATGCTCATGACTTTTGTGTCTTCTGCCAATTTTTCAGTTGTTTTTTATCCTTTGCTTATTGATTTGCAGGGGTTCTTTATATATTGTAGATGTTGACAGGGGCTCTTTTTTAGTTATAGACTTTGTAAATATCTTCTTCTAGTCTCTGTTAAATTTGTGTTGTATTTACTGTTATATAACCTATGTTTTTTCCTTTTTAGTTTATTATATATTGAGCATTTTCCATGTCTTTACATGTTAATTTCTACTACCTAATTTTAATGGTAATAAGCTGATATTTGAGAAATTATTCCATAAGCAAACATTAATACTGCCCCCTCCATTCTCCAAGGAACAGCATATTAATATGTTTTTTACCCTGGGAAATAGGTTGCTAATTCGGATTTTTTGGGCCATTAGAAGTTCTTGGTTAGCCCAATCTGATGACATACTGTAAGCATTACTTGATTTATTTGTCTAACAAGATTTGGTTTTGAGGTTTTTCTTTTTTTGTAAATCTTCCTGATTTTCCTGCATCATAGATGTTCTGAAAAATCAAAGCATACATAAGTCTTTTGGGGATAAAATTTTCTTTAGATCAATAATTTATTTTATGAAATCTGCCTTTGAACGGAATAGGGCATGAAAATTACAAAGTAAGTCAAGGCTTCCTTCTTTGGTTTTAAAGAAATAAATAGTTGGGCATGGTGGCACAAGTCCATAGTCCTAGCTATTGGGAGGCTGCGACAGGAGGATCGCTGGAGCCCAGGAATTCAAGGTTACAGTGAACTATGATTGTGTCACTGCACTCCAGCCTGGGTGACACAGTAAGACCCTGACTCTAAAAATGAATAAATAAATAAATAAAGTGAGAATAGACCTCTTAAAATGTCACCTTTTTACTTTTTTTTTTTTTTTAATGTGTAATTTTTGGTTCATTTCTGCCTGAAGGTAGAAGAGGCTAAATCCCAAAATCTGTTTCATAGCAGGTATTCCTCAGAAAAGGATTACATCAACAGGAAAAAGACTTCCAGAGCCTTTGCTGTCCTCCTATCCCCTGTGACTCTCTAGAGGGGGTGGGCTGTGTTTACCATTTTTCTCAAACTTGTTTGATATCAGGATTCTTTTATAATAAGTGTCTTATGAGTCAAATGTTCCCTGGAATTCACTTTTGGTCAACCATGGAGTTGGATGTATCTTTTAAGGTTCCCTTGGGTTCTGTGCTGTATGGAAAGAGATGAATTCCTCTGCCAAATGATGAATCCTACAGACTTGGACATGGAACTCTGGAAGCAAATGCAGAGTCACTATATACATAATCTGTAAACACTTGCTAAAGAATAACTTTAAGCCAGACACACTTTTAAAACCTTTCTGCCATAATTTAGAGTCTCATGATGGGGCCAGGAAAGAGTGAGCAAAGCCAGAATATTGTGTGACTCATGAAGCAAGGAGCAGAGCCTCAAACCTGTGAAGCCCTGCTGTGAGCAGACAGTGCACAAGTCCTTGAGTGTTTACTGTAGCCAAGTTGTATCGCTCTAACACAGGTGGCTGTGTGTGTAATGTGCACAATCATTAGGTTGATATCCTTGTACACAACAGACATCCTTATACACAATCAGAGCAATAAAATTGCACACAATCAGAGACTGTGAGATAGAGTGCTCCGTCCTCAACATGGCTGCCAAGACCCCTGCCTCGGGCCACAGCCCTCGTTCTTTTGTCTGCACGCCAGCCATCACCCCCCCCACCCCTCCCCAGGTCTCAGCTGTCCTGCTATTTGTCAGAGGACCCCAGCCTGGATCGGAACCTCCTGCTAATTACTCTGCCACAGATAGCACTCTGGGCTTCTCCTTCTTAGCCTTCACACACTTGTACTTATGGAAATAATTATTATTAATACTAATCATATTTTCATGTCTGGTCTTCCCTGATACGTTACAAGCTCCATGACGGTAGAGATTCTTTTTATTCACTGCTACATCCCATCCCCAGGGCCTGAGAATAGTAGGCATTCAGTAAAAATTTTTTGAATGATTAAGAAATCACACCTCTGCTTCTTATAAACACATCCTGATTCAATAAGTTTCACCAGGAGCGGTGGTCCCATTGTCCTCACTGCTTCTCACTGTGACCCATTCTGCTTTATTTGACAAGACCCCTGAATGGTTGGACAGTGATTCCTGCCAAAAGTGTGATCAGCCTTTCTTCTGGAACTTCAAGCAAATGTGGGACAGTAAGAAAATTGGCCTAAGACAGGTGAGTGATATGGATGCTCCATCAAAGTGTAATTGTGTGGAAATAACCATGTGATCTTGGAAGAAATAGCACCTCTGGGCAGGAGTCATGGTGGGGTAAATTATTATCCTGTGGTTGCCTTGTGAGCACACAATTTATTAATTTACTCCCTTTGTCTACTGTAGCTCATTCCTTCTAGTGATTTGTTCCCAATAAGTAGCTAAAGGGAGCCGATTTTAGAATTCTAGTGGCATCTATTGAAACATACCTTAAAATTAGAGGTGTCATGCATAGCCAAACCATGAAATTATATAAGTGGTATTTATTTCTCCTTAATTATTTTACTTTCCCTCCTTCCAATTTAGTTTGAATTATTTATGTCTACTTATAATACAGCATTTTCAATCTAATTCCATGGTTCGATTTGTTCTTCCCTAAGGAAATCAAATGTTAGGTCAGCTAGGTTGAGCATGGCCAAAGTGTAGTCCTTGGATTGACTCTGGTTTTATCCATGTTCTCCTTCATCCAGCAGCATCAGCCCTAAGGTGGCACTTCTGCAGTGCACCCAGATTTAAGGTCACCTGGCTGCTGGGTGGTCCCTCTAGAAAAGACCGAGAAGGGGGAGGTGGCCCAGTCACAGGTGTTTCCCGAAAGCCCTCATTCTGAATGACAGGGCCCCAGACGAGAGACACGTGCTGTGTTCCTTTGAGCTCTCTAGAACATGCTCGCCCCGCACCTTCACCTGGTGACCCTGCCAGCATCTGCCGGGAGGGGTGAGGCGCAGGGGCCACATTGTCGAGTGTCTGCTTTCTCTCCCCGCAGCACCACTGCCGCAAGTGCGGGAAGGCCGTGTGCGGCAAGTGCAGCTCCAAGCGCTCCTCCATCCCTCTGATGGGCTTCGAGTTTGAAGTGAGGGTCTGCGACAGCTGCCACGAGGCCATCACAGATGAAGAGTAAGTTCCAGCACCTGCACACACTGCTGCAAGTTAGGGAGAGACTCTAACCTGAGAGCTCCCGCAATGCCTCAGATTGTTCTCGATACTGCTGGGTTGGAACATAGATCATGGCAAGTGGTAAAAGCCTGCCTTTGCCGCCAAGAGATCTGTGTTATCTTGCAAGATACAGGAGAAAATATGTTCAAAGAATTCATCTCTGCTCTTCCTAATCCCAGAGATATGTGCATTTAAAATACATGCTCTCGGAGCAAACTCTTCTGTCTGCTCGTTTACCTGAGACTTGCCCAGGAGTGCAGGGGCACAGTTTCTGGCCCAAACTAGTATCTTTACTACAGAAGTTGGATCAGTTTTCAGGTTCTAGAAGGTTTCATTTTCTGGGAAGAGCTAAGCCACTTTACCTAAGAGACAAACATTCCCAGTTGCCTAACCACTGATTAGGCTGATTAGACCTGCCAAGTAGCCTGGGGCCTTAGCTTACTGCACCTCATGTACTTTGGAGGATGGGACAAATCTGTGTTGTCCCTTTTATGTTGGATAATTGAAAGCTGCCCCCAGATGTCAATAGAATATTCTGCAACAGGTTTCCCTTTTAGTGAGTCATAGGAGCATCGCCTAGGTAATTTGTCTCCCCAATCCTCCCAGCACCTTGAATTACAGTAAAATCATTTTAAGTATTATTTTTCCATATAAAATATAAATCAAGATGCCCTTGCATGAGTAAGCATTTACGTTCATTGATTATATTCCACTCATCATACATGATGAAATTAATGAGAGTTCTTTTCATTAAATTAGAGAACTGCAAGAGACCTTAGAGATATTCTAGTTTGATTCTTCATTTTATAGATAAAGACACACATCCAGGTAGTCTAAGGGACTTGCAAATTAAGCCTAAATCTTTAATTTGAAAAATTTAAAGTGACCATTTTTAGTATACTAAAGATCTGTCCTACAGATTTACCTATGGAAAAAAGAAAGAAGAAAACCACCTTCAGAGAGCCCCCTGCAGCCTAGGGGGACCCCTGGAAGCATGATGAGAGAGCGTCATCCCCTTGGCTGTGTCCCTGTCCCCTTCCCACTGCACTGTATCTTCCACCTCTTTTTGGCAGAAGCACTTTCATTGCCCCTAGAGCACCTCAGCAGTTGACAGGCGTTCTTATTAAAACGAAACCCACATAGACTGAAAACTGCAAAGCAAATAATATGTTTGTTTATATTTCGTTTTGCTTGTTAAAGCTTAGAATACTACAGAGAAACTGAGTCTGCAGTTCTACTACTGAAGGAAGGATGTGGATGGCCTTCCAAGTAGAATGACAATTAGTAGTATCTTAGGCATTTTATCAAGCACACTTTTTTTTTAAATAATTAAATAGGCAAAGGTAGACTATTTTACTGGCAAGTCCTTCTGAGCCCAAACTTAGCAAAAACACTATGGTTTTTAAAAGATTTCTCAAAAGCACAGGTAAGAGATTTTCACAGACTCCATTAGAGCAACACATTCTCCAGAAGGACTTTTAGAGATTTCATCTCTTTTCCATTTTAGAGACTTTAAGAATCTTTTTGCTTTTTTTTTTTTTTTTTTTTTTAATCATAACAGGTCACCAGGGAATAAAGCTAGATCTGAGGAGCATTTCTCACACTGAAGCAATTTTAGCCACTAGGCTAAAAATTAGAACATAATGTCATCCTAGATCTCCTCCATTCATGTCAGCACCTTTCACTCTTGGAAACTTTCTTTGCTCCTTGCAGACGTGCACCCACGGCTACTTTCCATGACAGTAAACATAACATTGTGCATGTGCATTTTGATGCAACTAGAGGATGGTTACTGACTTCTGGAACTGACAAGGTTATTAAGGTAAGACACCATCTTATTAAAAAGCTTTTTATCTTTGGCGGGCACCAAGAACATGTGAGGCACCTTGGAGGTGACCATTTTTGAGAACCTATTATTTAATACGTGGCCTGGCCTTGTGCCAGGCACTGGCTCTACACAAAGAAATAAGACATGGCTCCAGCCTGCAAGGAATGGATAGTCTACTTGAGTTATACAAAAAAATGATTATAGGTCACATGTGCAGCAGCCAAAAGAGTAATACAGATGAGAATCATCTTAAAAAAGTTCAGCAGTAGGAGATGGTGCTGGTGGAGAAGGCTTCACAAGGGAGATGGGATTGAGTGAGCATGGATGAAGGGCAGGACTTGAATAAGCCAACAGATAATAAACAAGATCTTTTCCCAGTGAGATCAATTAATCCAAAAGCATCCATCCAGGGCCTCTCCAAGGACCTCGGTAGACCACACAGATTCAGTGCCGTGGCAGTGGCCCAGGACAGAAGGGGCCACAAGAAACAGGGAGGCACAAGCTTGCCCAACATACTGAGCTCTGCCTTCCTGACCTAGCCCCGTCCTGTCCTTAGAGACAGCAGCAGGATGAGGTAGTTAAAGTAACCCACTTTGGAATCTACCAGACTTCTGGCTTTCAACGAGTTTAAAGTAAACTGGGGAACCTCAGGGTTTTTTTATTTTTGAAAATTAGACATCCTGTAGAATTATCTGGAAGATGAAATGAGAAGATATGGAAAGGACACAGCACATGCTTAGTGTCTGATTAATGTAAGCTCCCTTCCCCCTTAAATGGATCTAATCTGCCTTTGTACTCTTAGCTGGATCAAAATCTCAAGCTGCCATTGTCATGTTTTGAGCTTTACGTTGACATTTCTGATGAAAAACATATAGAGTTGGGAATCATGTTAGCGTAGTATGCAGTTGCCTGTTAAATGAAAAAAATTCACTTGAAGAATTCAATGGTAAGGACTATTTATCCCCAACGCAATTACTTTGAGTCCACTCTGTATCTTCTTTTCCTCTGGACAGTTGTGGGATATGACCCCAGTGGTGTCATGATGGCCCTCGTGGGACTCGGCAAGACGGCATTTACTAGGAACGGTTGTTCTGATCCGAGTCATGACTGGAGGGGAAAAGCAGAGCAGTGAGGAGTAAGAGAGAAACTAAAACCCTGGATGGATTTGCAGATGCCCGACGCGCAGCGGTGACCTCGTGAGTGAACACTTGCAAGAGGACTCTCCAACCCGTTCATACAATATAAAAGAAGATATTTTTTTAGAAAATGGTTTATACATTCTGGCTGTGCTACATTATTTTGAGTATACTGAAAAATCTGTGTGGAGTGGTTTAGTTTTTATATTTTTCAGCACTCTGTTTTACTTGTTGCTTTGTATGTCCGAGAAATGAGGGAAGTACGTGTTCAGGGTACTTTGGTCGTTATAAAGTAGTTTCCATGTTTTCTTCACTTCAGTGTGCGTCACGTGGCCGGCATCTCTTTCTTCTCTTCTCTCTGCATCTACCTGCACCTTCTCTGCTTTTCCGTGGAGTACGTATGTTTTTACATATTTATTCTCAGCGCTTCTGTTTTCATGTCCTCTTCAGTGGAGAGATATGGAAAATCATTTGTGTGGCTTCACCAACTGACTTCTTGAATCGCCTGAAGAAGGATCTGTGTGCGATGTCTGACTCATTCATGTTCTTACAGAAAAATGACCTTGTGTTTCTGCCTCAGTTTCCTCTGGCTTTCCTACATTAAAAAAAAAAATGCCGTGAGAAAGCTACTCCCGAGTCACCATCCCTACAGAAGGAGATTGTTGTAACTCAGAGCTTCAACTCTCAGTGCCTGGATGATTTAGAATTCAGTTGGAGCCTGCTGAGCCTTTTACATTTTAGTTTTTTGACACAGTTCTCCCTCCCTGATAGTATTAAAAACAACATGCACACACAAAACCCTACATGCTTCAAAAATAAGCATCTTTAAGATGTGTTTTTCTGTGTGACATCAATTCTAAACTTGAACATGCAAGATTGTAATCCTGCTCTATTCCTCGCCTTCTGTATTTTCTATCCCTTTAAAAACTAGATATTTAAACATTCGTATCTTCATGGATTGCATCCAGAACACTTTGCGTACTTTCATGCTAAAACTGTGTGGTCTGAGGCTAGAAAGGTACTGAATCCTACAGTTCCTGCTGTTTTCCTGTTGGGAATGTAAAGGAGGACTTCAGAAAATGAACCTGAAGAATGCTTATTTCTGAGGGAATCCAACCAAACTTGATAAAATGGAATATTCTTGTGTATAGTAACTCAACTCAGGATATCGATGTCCCTTCTAAAAATCTGATTTTCACCTGTAAAAATAGAATTAAAATTAGTAACAAGCCTGCACCAGGTGCCTGCCCCGTCCTACGCACTTTATGTAGACTCCCTCATTCCATCCTCATCCCTGGGGATCATCCAGGGACCCCCAGTCCCTGCGGGTCACCAGGTCGAATAAAGCCTGGCAGATACACAGGCCACTTGCTCGCCCTTCCCGGTCCAAGCCCTACCTCCACAGCATCTTGTTCACTTCCTACGTGACAGTTTTTTGGTGGTGTATTTGGGTGAAAATTGAAATCCTCGCTGTTATTTTTCCTCTTTTCCTGGAAGTTGGTTTTATTCCCTCACGATCATTCATTGCTTTTCTAACTGGGGGAAGCACGACGAGCCATCCTGCGATACCGCCCCTAACGCCAAGCAAGCGCGCTTCCTGGGGAGGGGCCTCCTGGGACGGCTCTGCTGCCCCAGCACAGGGAGGCAGGGCCAGTACACACATCCCGTGCAGCCACGGTACATGGCAGCTGTCACCTGGCACATCAGACCAGCTCAGCCCATGTGACCAGAACTCTGAGGATGCACGCATGCATGCACACGCACACACGGACGCTAGAGCCACTTGTCACTTTGCTGCCTTTGCCCACACCACCCTTGCCTGCCTCAGTCAAGACTGTTCTAACTACTGTGAGTCTTTTCTTTGTGATCGTTCTATGAGAGAGCTTTAAAAAGGGAATTAAATTTAAAATATTGAAATATCTATTTTGTAGTTTATTCCTAGAACCTGCAGCCGCTTACTAAGTTGTACCTAGTAGAGGACTGTGTGTTGGAAATCAGTAGTAGAAATGAATCTCTCTGCTCCCCCTCCCTGAGCCTGGGAGCTTACCCTGTATACAAAGAGGGGAACACAGTGTTAGGGTGGTGGAGGCCCTCGAGCAAGCCTTGGGTGGATTCTGAGTTGGGGCTAGGTGAGTTCAGACCTCATTCAGGAAGCCAACTGCCCCTGTTAGATCACATGTGCCCAACATAGTCGCTCCAGCTTGTGACCTGCTACTCTAGCCATCTGCCTCCCAGCATTGCTCTAGCCCAGCCACAGGGCCACTCTGAGGGTGAAACCACTTGCCACCTCACTGGTGATGAGAATCACGATTGAAAACCACAGATTTGTCAAGCTATTCATTGCTCTGCCCTTTTCTTCCTCCTGATCTGTGTGGGTGCTTGGATTTGGTAAAAAGTATTTAGCAAACCAACTGTATGTGTTTGTAATACTGTGAATCCATAAGTTTTGCATTAAGTGTCTCCACCATTTTTATAACTCAAGAAATAATATGCTGATGTTGGGTGTCTTCCAAGCCTTTTATGGAAATGGAGCCTCCATTCCTTAGGAGTAGAAGCTGGCGCCAGCACCTGGCTTTTCTCCTGTCTACGTGAACCGTCACCGTTCTTGTTTTACCCTATTGGATTTGCACTTTACATATATTTTTGCTTTACAGCTTAAACATCCAGCAGCTCTGGCAAATAATGCCTAACGTGACTATGTTGGGAAAGTAGCAAAACTGCACGTGTCATAGGCTGGAGCTGTTCTCTGTTTGGTAGGAGAAAACCAGTCACATGCTCTTGGTAGCTCCAAAGGAATGACGATTACTGGAGCTGTCAGCTGCCTGGGCGTGTTTCCACAGTAGCAAAAATGGTTTGAGATTAAGTACTTGGAATCTCGTGTCATTTTACGTGAGGTCAATCAACCATGATGTATTTCTCATTTGTTTGAATTGTTCAGAGAATCATAAAATCACAAAACTGGAAGAGATCTTCAGAGATCCAGAATGTTCCAAGTAGAAAACACTTTAGTCATACCGGGCAGTTAGATATAGCTGAGGTGTCAACAGGAGAATCTAAAAGAACGTTCCAGGAACAGTTGTTTTTTAGCATTATGTGGTAATGGCATGCGTGGGAAGAGTGACTTCCAGCGCTGTGAGACGGAAGCTCTGAAACCGGGTTTGTTCCTCGTGCTAAGTGTATTTGGCACTTCTTTTGGCCCCAGCCCTGTAGTTATGAGGGGGTGAGTACTATACACGGAGGTAATTATTGCAATTCTTCATCCACATAAACTTCTTCCTACACACTTCTTCACAAACCACCCCAGTGGCAACATTTAAGTGGAAATCCGGGACACCGGAAATGCACTGCACCCTATTTGTGTGAGGGCAGGTGTGGTAAGAGCGAGGCTCTGCGCCGACAGCATTTGCCCGTATGAACATCCCCTTTCCATTTTCTGACTTGTTTTATTTGTTCATTTGTTTGTTTTTTGGTTTTTGAGACAGGAGGGAGTGCAGTAGCATAGTCATAGCTCACTGCAACCTTGAACTCCTGGGCTCAAGTAGTCCTCCTGCCTCAGCCTCCCAAGTAGCTGGGACTACAGGGGCACACCACCAGGCATGGCCTATTTTTAAAATTTTTCTGTAGAGACAGGAGAGATGGGGTCTCACTGTGTTGCCCAGGCTGGTCACAAACTCCTGATCTCAAGACATCCTCCTGCCTCGGCCTCCCAAAGTACTGGGATCACAGTGTGAGCCACCATGCCTGGCCTGAGATTCATTTTTTAAAAGTAAAATTTATTTTTGCTTAATATTAGTCAATTCTTAAGGCTCAAATTTTGGTTTTTATGCAATAGGGTGGCTCTAAACTATGGATCACAGTTCCTGGACATAAATACTCATTAGATGAATTTGGTTATGCCTTTTCACAGTAGTTTGATTGTATATGTGTAAATGCTCTCATTTACTAAGATTTTTATCTTAAAGTGAAAGAAAGTTCTTTGTCAAAACATTCTTGTTTTTCCCTCCTTTAATGTTAAGTTTTTCCTAGTGTGAAAGTGGGTATTTATTAACACGATCAGAAGACACAGAAATGAAGCCCATTTTGAGCACTGAGTTGTCTAGAGGGTCCTTGAGATTCTAGTGCAAGCCAGCCATTTGTGGAGAGCCCCCGTAGACCAGGCTTTGAACTAGGCGCTGGGGTTACAAAGTCTCTGAGCCCATTCCCAGGCTATGCAGAGGCCACACAGACAGCAAACAGGTCATCTCGGTGGGACGTGATTCATTTACTGATGGAGGCGAGCTTGGGGTCCCATCCCAGGAGCTGCCCGGGGTGCCTTGATCCAGCAGGTGGGGCAGGAGGGGCTTCTCAGAGGACTTCTGAGCTGAGTATTAAGGATGAGCAGTGAGTCGTAAGGGGGGGGGGTGGAGAAAATGGCTTCCTAGGCTGCAGAAGCAGGATAAACAAAGGCCTGAGTGCTGGAGTCGGTGTGGGGTGTGCAGGGACCACAAGTGGGTTGGAGTTGCCAGAGGACACCGCGAGGCTGCGGTCCTGGAGCAGGAGGTCTCACTGTCAGCTGCAGCATGGCCCCAAAGGAAGGCAGACAGCCCACAGTTCACCACGACAGGACTCAGGCTCACCCTGTAGCCAGTGCTAGTATCAGTTTCTTTTTCTTTGGAAATCCCTATGATTGTTACCTGAAAATGACCCAGGGTGACTGATTTTCCATCTTTGTAGTTGCACAGCCTCTCACTGGAACTGGAGACCATTACATGCACAGCCCTTGGCCTGCAGGACTCACAAACTAATGCCATGCGTGGGCAGGGCTCGGCTGCTCCGCTTTGGGAAAGGCAAGACCAGGACCCGTGGCAGGAGAGCACTGTCCTATTTGCACGTGGCATTGCACTGACAGGCAGCACCCGTGTTTGGGTACGGACGCCGGCAGCTGCTGCCTCCACTTCCTGCTCTCACAAGTGACAGATCATTTCAGTACAGTGTGGCAAATCCTGGTCACAGTGGCACTCGCCAAGGGGAAGGGAACAATTTTTCTCAATTCAGTTACAATAAAAAGGGCTCAGGCAGCCACTGCCTGGGAGAGCCGGCCCTGTTGAGGCCAGAGCACCCCGTGGCAGGGCTTGGCGACAGCTATTTCTTGCTGTTGCATCATTTGCCTTTTTTTTTTTTCAGGACCCAAGTATCAAATGTCCAGAACTGAATTCAGAAATATCTGTGCTCATGTTTAAACTTCAGCTCAGCTTTACAACCAGGGACCACATACCAACCCTCAGGGGTTTTAGTTTGTATTTTTGTCTTTAAACATTTTCCTTTTCACCAAGAAGCCTGTTTAGGTCTAACACATGAAAACAGTGTCTAAAAATTAGATCTATCCTAAACTGGAATGGTATCCCTCCCTTGCACTTCCCATGCCAGGGAATTTACAGACAGCAAATAGCCTCTGGTCAGAGATGTTGGAAAGGAGATTAAAGCCTGGAGGAAGGGACAGATTTGACCATCATTCTAAAGGTCCCTTCCAATCTTGTGATTCTGTGATTCCACAAATCTTATTGTTGGAATAGCCTAAACCATCGGCAGAGCCCGTATCGCCATGCCTTTGTTGTCTTCAGCTATATCAAGTGAGTTGCTTTCCAGATTATTCCATCTCGAGCCTCGTAAGTTTGGTTTTAGAAAAAGATGGTGAAGGTGGAAATTAATCACGGTACCGTCTCATTAAAAATAGATACCTCAAAACATCCACCTTTCTGAGCCAGGAAGAGTATCTGGCTTTCTTGGGAGAGGACGTGATAGGGAACTGCAGGTTGGTCCAGAAGTTAGACTCAGAAGTGACCTTGACGTTTATGATTCTTTCTCTTTTATGTTCCTTGGTTCTCTGGGATGCATGAGAAGGTGATCTATAACTCACAAAAAGGGAAAAAGTATTTCACTTATATAGACTTTTTATCATTTAAATGGACGGCAGCCTTATGTAGTAGCATATGCCAGTACGAAGTATGGACCAAAACACTAGTGTCACTGTTAACCATTATAAAACATGTTTATACCTTATACCATTTGCCTTGCTCTTTAAATGACTTTGTGTTTCAAGGTACTGTCATTTCGCAAAAAAATCTTTGTATGAAAAGTACAAAAACCGTTAGTAACTGGACAACAGGGAAGGTGCTGGCCCACGTCTGTGCCTGCCTGCCACTGTGTTCATAACCAGGGACCCGGACTCTTCCATCCTGTGCATCCACCGGGCTGCGGCCCGCAGCTGGACCTGGCTGCAGCGGGCATGTTACGTATAGATTATCTCTTTCTGTTTTTGAAACGAGATTCTCCCCATGGGGCTGGGCTGTGAATGTAATGAGCCTGGCGTTGGGACGATTTCTCCAGTGTGGCTCCAGCTCAAACCCCGCTGGCCTCCACCACGCTGCCTGCCACGATCCCACCAACCAGACCAACCAGTCTGGACTTTGACTTCCTGAATGTGATGCGGGGATGGTGAGCAAGAACTTCCTGTCATGTTGACATGCCTGTCAGCCGTCCTACATTCAAATGCTGCTGAATGCCATGAATGTGTTCACTCTGCTCTCTCCCGCTGTGCTTCCCTCTAACCAAAACGTGCGTGTAGCCATCCCCAGTGGCCAACTCAGTGCAGAGTCGCCTCCATGGCTTAAATAAACCTCTGTGAAAACCTTCCTGCAACTGTGGTGCCATCGTTGTTGTTACGCGTGACCACACACACGCCAAAGCCTGCTTTGGTGTTGCCCCTATTGGTTTGTCCAGTTGGGGGTAGGGGGTAGTTTCTAGACCACCGGCTGCCTAGACCTCAGGGAGAGCCACCGTCGGGAGATGAAGGTGAGCCACCGTTCACCATGGACCACGCACACACAGCACGTGGCTGTGGCCACGGAGGGCTTTTTATTTTATCTTTCATGTGTCTGCTTTTTCTGTGTTTAATAAACTCTCCAAATAAAGAGAAAGGACTTCAGGCCAAACACGGCCAGGGAAAGCCTCTTTCAAAAAGAGGACCATTTTATGGAGAAGAAAATAGGTGCGAAGAAACCAAGGAGCCCACATGCTGTGGAACAGCCAAGGGAGGCTGGCAGGGCAGCCCCAGGCCCGCGCTGTCTTCCTCCTGCAGACAAGGAGCGGGGGCTCAGCAGCGCCTCCTGTCAGGTGGACACTGCTGTTTCAGGCAGGCTTGCCCAGAGAAGCCCCAAGCCTGGGGTCCTCGGCTAGCGAGCCCCGGATCCCCAGTGTCTCAGGGACCACCAAGAAGCTGCACCATCTGCATTTTCCTCTGGTATGGGCGACGAGTTCCGGTTATTTCATCCTGAACACCAAGAACATGTGTAGATGTATTCCAGATCTGCTTGTTGGTTTTGTTGCAGCTGCCCCTAAGGTCACTAAGAGGTAAAACGATGTAATTTAGAGGTTTTAGCAGAGTATGGTGCCAGAATGCAATGTGCGTTATTGAAGCCACTCCCAATTCTCAGCAAAGGTAAACTTGGCTTCATTTAAATTGTTTATGTAAATGTGCTTGCCCAGCGGCCCCCCGACACTGGAGGCATCTAGAAAGGGGGAGGAGGGAGAGTCCACAGGGAGGGTGTTCGTTCTTCCTCCCAGCCCTGAGGCCCCTCAGTGTGACAAGGTTGGTTAATTTTAAAACAAATTTTTAGAAAACCACATTCTCAAGTAAGGGAGAGATTTAAACAAGAAAAGAACCTGCTGCAGAAGATCAAGGTCAGCTTGTTCGTGGCCCCAGTCCTATTTATTTTAAAATACAAGTTTCCATTCCTTGTAGCCCCCCAGGGAAGTCGAAGTGGGGTCTGTTCCCTGGCCCCTAGCCCACACCTTCTGGTGTCTTCTAAGGTGACTCTGGCTCGTGCTGGGCCTGGCCTGGCCTTGTTAAATCTCTGAGCCAGCTGTTCCAGGATCTCCATGAGTTTCTCCTCTTCAGCCAGCAAGGAGTATGTTCTAGCAAGAGGCTGGTGTGTAGAGGCTGGATTCCGAACTACAAGTGAGAGGGAACAGAGGTGTGAACCGTGGCAGCGTAGATGAGTCTCTGTCCCTGTTGCTGCTCAGGCCCCTCAGTCACTGACCTGACACCTGCTGGGAAGGAGGTGGCATTCCCCTCCCCTCCTCCGGTGTTAGACACCATCCCGCCCTCGAGGGCCCACGCAGATTTAGCACCGAGCTGTACATGACATGCTCCCGGAGGGAGGCCTAGTGGAGAAGAGAGGTCGGGGCTGAGGCTTGGATTCACAGGCGGCTCCAGGCCTGGGTCAAGCGGCAGGTGGCAGCCAGGCTGGGGGAGGGGGCCACACGTGGGGCCCCCTCCCCCAGCCTGGGGCCCCCAACGGGAAGGGGCACAACCATCCTCGTGGCCACCAGGGCCACCAGCACTTCTTAATAACCCAAGCAAGGTGGTTCTCATCAAGAATGGAGGAAACAACCAGAGAGAAGAGCCTGGTTTCCGCCCAAGGTCAAGTGTTCTTCTCTAACGGCATCCACTCACTCTCACGCCGCCTCCTCTCAGAGCTTGCCCCCTTGGGAGCCCACCGCCATCGAGAACAAACCTGAACAGAGCACTGCTCCCACGAGTGGAGAAGCGGGCCACAGTCACCCCCTTGGGGTTGCTGCTTGGAAAACTGCCCAGACTGTCCTTGGCCCCAAGGTAGGAGCTGCCTCCACCCCCGCCCCACAGGATGGCCCTGCCCAGGCCTTTGTTGACAGGGTCACCACAGCCTTCAAGGGACCCACCAAGCTCAGAAAGATCAGTGGAAGGAGGGGCAAGATCAGGGGTGCAGCCCTTCCCCAAGCCAACTCCAATGGACAGAGGAAGCGTCTGGTCCACAAAACCGGGCACAGCCCCAGGGAAAGGGGGGATAGTCCTGCCTGGCTTTCAGGAAGGAGGGTGCCCCTCCAAAGCCAGCTGTGCCCCAGCCCTGTGTTCCTGCCTGCAGAGCCAGGGAGGAAGCCACCTTGGAAGAAGTGGCGGCTGCGCTGCGTGGCTGCTGCAGAGAACAGGGCCCCCCAGCCTGGCCTGGAGCCCTGCAGGCAGGACTCGAAAGTGGGGGGGGAGGGAGAGGTGGTGGGGGCCGAAGGGCAGCTGGGGTAGCTCAGCATTCTCTGTGGCAGGGACTTCATGAGGCTGACTTCTTTCTAATGCCAAAGCAAGGATCAGAAATGAAAGGGGATCATACGCTGCTCTCTTTCTACCTGAAATTCACACTTCTCTAAGCTGTTCAGAACTGATTCCAAAGAACCTTGTTATAAAGCCCCTGAGGCGTTGCCTGGTGGAAAGTGTCACCTGCCAGAGCCTGAGAGTACTGTTGGGTCCCCATGTCCCCGGGCTCCAGACACCAGCACCCAGGCCAGCCCCTCCCCACCAGCAGAGTGGCCGCAGGGCCCCCTGGCCACCCTGAGAATGGCTCTCACGGGGTGGGGGGCCCACACTGAGGCCCCAGGGGACCAAACCCAGGGGCTCTGCCTCCTGGGTGCCAATCTCCCCCAAATGAGCCTAACCTCTCAGGGGTTCCTGGCTGTTGGTTTCTTGGGCCATTTTAGCATTTTCTTCTTTTTAGGGAGGAGTATAGTAAGAGGGGAAAGAATTTTTTCACTTCCTCTGCCAAGCTTCTCTGCCTCTCCCTCCCTCCGCACCCCTGCGCCCCCGGGCTGCAGAGAGATGCTCTTGCCTGCCACGGCCCCCAGCCTAGCCCTGCCTCACAGGTGGCCCCAGCCTGGGCCTGCCCAGTGGCCTGAGGAGGGACGCAGCCACCAGCCCTGACTGCAGGCTACACCCCGTTTCCCCCCAGACCTCAGGGAACACAGTGTCTCGGAAGTGAGCACATCAGGAAACAAAATAGTTCTCCTGTGAAGCCAAGGAGAGGAAAGAAACCAGAAAAAACAACATTTAAAAGCCTTACTGAGATCATCGAGTTTTAGAGATAGAAGGGATCATCTATTCTAACACCCTCCTTTTTAAAATTCAAAATAAACATTTTTTTAAAATTTTTGCAGAAATAATACTTATTGTGGAAAAATTAGGATATACCAATGGGCAAAAAAAGGAACTTGAAGCCTTCTGCTGGAGCACTCGGAGACAATTGTCTGCATGCCCCGGCCTCCAGGGCCACAGACAAGTGGTCTGCACCTGAGCGTTGCTCCCCAAGCTGGGGACACAGATGGCAAACTGCACCTTAGCCTAGGTGACAGAGCCAGGTGGCGGGATTGCTAGAGGGATTTTGTAAGCACACGAGTTGATGTTGGGGCTGTCAGAATGCTGCAGTCGGGAGTCCAAGGGGCTCCCCACGGCACGGCCTGCTGGAACCGAAACCACGGGCAGGTGGAACCGAGCGCGTCTCGCACGAGGAAGTGAAGAGCTGAGCAGCCACGCGCTCTGAGCACGCCCAGCCTGAGTCTGCCCTGGTGCACGGTGCCGAGAACGTCCCTTTTGTGTCGGTGACAGGAGACTGCAGAACTTCCTCAGATCTGTGCAGCAGCGGGCTCATTTCTGCCAAGTCCCCACTCGAGGTCCCCAGGGATACCACAAAGCACGAACGTATACCTCTTTCTATAGGGGTGTGGTCGCGAAAAAATAAGAAGATAAACTGTGTACTATTTAGAACTTGAAATCTTCACTTGTGCAGACGGTTCTTTTCTTCCATGGGCCCTTATCAACAGCAGGGATTTCAGCCCTGAACAGGTGTCTTTTGTACGGGTGTTCCCTAATTCATTAACTGCATCTCCTTTCACCAGTGCTGTGACAAGCAACCTTGTTTTCCATATCCGTATTTCTTAGGATGAATTCCAAGGCTGGACATACTAATGGTAAGGCCTCTAATACACAATGGCTTTCAGAAAGGTCGTGGCCGCAGTGCGTGAGAGCGCCTGCTTCCCAAAACCCTGGGGCCAGGGCCAGCCGGGAGGTCCCAGGGTCTCTGTGCCTCAGTTTCCCGTCTGTGAGTGTGAGAAAATAGCAGTGCCGGCTTCACAGGGGCTGTGAGGACAGGCGGGTTAACATACGGGCAGCAGGGAACCAGCTCTTGGCACCTCGGGTGCACCCCAGGGTGTTTGCTGTGGCTGCGGCTGGTTTCAGTTCCCTTGTTTGGGGGAGGAAGAAACCGCGGGAGCCCAGGTGAGCTGCCCGCGGTCACAGAGCGGGTGGGACAGACCAGCCGCCACTCACCACGCCTCCAGATGTTTCCCCCTATGTCCGTGTGGTCATCACTTACCTTTGTCACTCGTTGTTCCCAAAAACCTGGGTAGTGGTGAGGTGGCCTGCGCCCGTCTCCAGGTCCCCAGGCTTCTCCCACTGACTTCGCTCGGCCTCTGCTCATTCCTCTGACGTGGACGCGACAGTGGTCACCAGCTCCCGCCCTCAGCAGGACACGCTGTAGCCAGGAAGGCACTCGGGAAGGGCCCCTCTCGCCCCCACCGTCCCCTCCCTGACGGGCACGGGCAAGCTGGACATAAAAAAAAGCTCCGCCTCTGAAGATGGGGCTTCTCCCGCTCTAGTCCCAATGTGTCCCCACTGGAACGGAAATGCAGCGACTCCTCCGTCCTCATTACGCTGGTTTTAGGTCATTCCTGGGGAGATCGAGTCCTGTGGCTGCTCAGGTATTTTTAGGTGAAACATAAGCAGCTCAGCAATTAAAGGCTGCGACATTCCTGGAGTGTCGCCCAGCCAGGACGTACCAAGGAGAAATGGATGGCCAGGTGCACGTGGGCCCCTGCTCCCCCGAACCACCTGCTGCCCCTGGACATGAGCGAGGGGCGAGCGGGAGAGATTAGGTGGCCTTAGGTGCGAGGCAGGGTGCTGGCAGCGGACGCACAGACGAGCCCCGGCCCAGCTCGTGGACACTGCACGGTGTGCGGCCCTTTGACCTCCCCTCCCTCAGAAATCGGCCTTTCCCCAAGGTCTGAGTAGGACCCGGCACTAGGTCCGCCCCCTCCACAAGAGGCTGACACCTTGGGGAGGAAGGAACAGCAGACGACGTCTGACTGGGGCCTGCGCCGCCCCAGTGAAATCAAATCCCCTGATCTGCGCCCAGCTCTCCCTTGTCCACAGTCGCCCGTGTGACCCTGTTCTCTGCTGCTCCGCCAGGGCAGGGGTGGCGACTGCCCCCTTCACGGTCGTACTCGGGCTCCCAGCAGGGGCTGGCGCTGAGTGGGTGTCCATACTCCTCACCCCTCAAACCAAACCTCGGCTGCATCCAGGCTACGGCCCAACCCGGGGCCGTTTGGTCACGCTTTGCAAAGAATCCCATTTCGGCTGCATTTACGATGAGTGGTTGGCTTATTCCCGGGGCCTCTGGGAAAACTGTCAAGAACTATGGCTCTTTCAGATGCCTTGAGAAGTCATCCGCCAGGATTCGGTCTGGGGTCAGGGAGCAAAACTGAGGCACACCCAGGGCACACAGGTGGCAGGGGTGGAGGTGGGCAGAGCGCCAGACAGGCCCCCTGAGAAACACGGCACCCAGGGGCAGCTGCAGGTGCTGGCTCCACAATGTGGGCGCCCAACCAGGTGAATGTAAGGCCAGAACTGTAAATGGGACATCATATAAAGCAGGCTTTTCAATATATCTATAGTAAGCTGAGATAGGGCAGTACAGTTCAGTATCCTTTATCTGGAATGGTTAGGCCCAGAAGTGTTTGGGACTTCCGATTTTTGGGGGGCAGGGGAATTTTGGAATATTTTCATATGCACAATGAAATCCCAAGTCTAAATGCAGAATTCATTGATGTTTCATATACATGTTATAACCATAGCCTGGAGGTAATTTTATACAATATTTTTCATAATCTTGTGCATGAAACAAAGTTGGTGTACGTTGTACCATCAGAAATCAAAGGTGAGGCCAGGCGCGGTGGCTCAGGCCTGTAATCCTAGCACTCTGGGAGGCCGAGGCGGGCGGATTGCTTGAGGTCAGGAGTTCAAAACCAGCCTGAGCAAGAGCGAGACCCCGTCTCTACTATAAATAGAAAGAAATTAATTGGCCAACTAATATATACAGAAAAAATTAGCCAGGCATGGTGGTGCATGCCTGTAGTCCCAGGTACTTGGGAGGCTGAGGCAGCAGGATTGCTTGAGCCCAGGAGTTTGAGGTTGCTGTGAGCTAGGCTGACACCATGGCACTCACTCTAGCCTGGGCAACAAAGCAAGACTCTGTCTCAAAATAAAAAAAAAAAAAAAGAGAGAGAAATCAAAGGTGTGGAGCTTTCCCCTTGGGACATCACATTGGTGCTCAAAACTTTTTGGATTTCAGGACATTTCAGATTTCAGATTAGGGATGTTCGACCTATGTAACTCCACTCTCTGTGAAGAACGGGCATGGGATCTGGACTCTTGCCCTTTCAGCTCTTCAAAATGGAAGGTACATGCCCTTCGAAGGGAGCCTGGGAGCCCAGAGCTGTGTCTGCAGCACCCGTCTAGCCAGTGCCCAGGGTGGGGCTGCCCGCAGGAGCAGCGGGGGTGGGTGGGGGCGCACCTGCCGCCCTCATGCCCTCTGAGCTGCCCACGGCAACGGAAACCCTGCAGGCTCCTGTCTTGGTGATCACCGGCTTCCACCCTCCCCTGTGTGGGTCTGAGGAAACGCAGAGAAGGGAAGTGGCAGCTTTTGCGGCTCCTCCCAGGATGGTGCTGAAGGTCCACCCAGGTCCCCTGATGGAGAAGGGTGTGATCTCTTGGTTGGGGAACATTTTCCGGTGCTGCTGTGAACTTCTAAGGTCCTGTTCACGTGCAGCCCCGAGTAAGCCTTCCTTGGAAAAGAACCCACGTGGCACCTTAGTAAAATGCAGTCTTGGGAAACCCACCTTACTTACTTTTATGCACAGACCGTAGTTCCATTAAACGCTGTTCTTTCCAACTGCAGATCGTCAGTATTCAATTTCTGAACCAAAATTCCTCCTGAGCAGACTGTTATCTGCAATCAAGGGAATAGAGATTTGCAAACAAAAGCTTGTGGCCTCCTCCAGTTCTTCCCTACTTGAGGAGCAGTATATCAGTTTTCTTGTTGCTGTTGTTGACAAATGACTACAAACCTAGTGGCTTAAAACAATGCAGATGTTTCCTCTTACATTTCTGGAAGTCAGAAGTCTGAGATGGGGCTCATGGGGCTAAAATCCGGGTGTCGGCAGAGCCGTGTCCCTGCTACAGGTTTCAGAGGAGAATCCGTTCCCTGCCTTCTCCAGCTCCGACAGGCAGCCGGCAGTACGGCTCACAGCCACACACCGCCACCTCTGCTTCCACCGCGACCTCCCTGGCTCTGCCCTCTGGCCTCCCTCTTGCAGGGAAAGACCCTGTGATGAACCTGAGCCCACCCGGTTAATCAGACTCTTCCCATCCCAAGATGCTTAACTGAATCACATCTGCTAGGACCCTTTTGCTAGGTAAAGGTGATATATTCACAGGCTCCAGGGATGAGGACATGGGCATATTTTGGGAGACAGTGTCATAATTTTGCCCCTACAGCAGGGAGCAGGCAGCTACATAAACTGCCTTCTTCTTGATTTCTCCGAGTCACGGCATTTAAACCCACTGGGCGACAACAGGCCCCATTAGCCTGTCCCTTCCCATCTGAGCAGGACGGCCCCGGGAGGTGCAGCCACCACCCCGAGCAGCCGGTCGCCCTCGCCTTCAGAGCCCCCCCTCCCCTGTCTCCCAGGGCAGCTGGGGACCTTTAGAGAAGGCTGGGGTCTCGGACGTGGCTCTTGGCACGTTGCACCTCCTTTTAGTCCCCGACATAACTGGGTTTTCCCCGGACTTGCCAGCAGGAGCAAAGCCCGTTACTCTCAGGACATCCCAAAGGTCGACACGGCGCTCTGGGGTCGTGCTCCTTCTCCAGCGCAGGGATCGGGCCGGCCGTGAGAACACACACACCTGCGGGGCACAGAGCGTCCTGCCAGGCGCGCTCCCACGGGAACCCCACTCAGGGACCCCTGACGGTGGTGACGTGGGGCCTGGCCAGCTGCGCCCGCACTCGCGAGAGAGCAAGCAAGCGGCGCCTGCGGTGTGTGCGCCTCCCTCCTGCAGAGGCGTCTGCGACCCAGTGCTGCGCCTGGCTGTGCCTTGCTGTCGCGGCCGGTTCGTCCCTTCCCCGGGATTGGCAGAAAGGTGCCTTAGAGCATCGAGTGGGAGGAAAGGACGTCCACACCACAGGAGTACAGGAAGGGAAAAAGCAAACTGCAAAATAGTATATCGGTCCACCTTGTAGAAGGAAAATATATACACATGTGTCTACTCTGTGCATGGAAAAATGTAAATATGGAATTTGGCAATACTGCTCATGTCTCAAGGGTGGCGTTGAGTTAAACTTTTACCTCCTCTGCTATACATTTCTGTACTGTTTGGATTTGAATATTTTTACAATGAGCGTATTATTTTATGGTTATTTCTGCAATCAAGAAATATACATATAACATTTTAATGGAATGAGAAAAATGTTGTTGGAGTGTATTTGACATGGAAAGACTTTCAAAATGTATCTACGGAATAGAGAAGCTACAGAAACAGTGGGAGCAGCACAATTCCATTTTTGTGAGGAAAGATGTGTTGAAATGAAGAGAAAATGCGTGCAAGGATGATATTAATACTTTGGTGCATTAAAATGTTCAAAGTGTTCATGTCTGGGCCGGGCCTGGTGGCTCACGCCTGTATCGTTTGAGTTCAGGAGTTCAAGACCAGCCTGAGCAAGAGCGAGACCCCCATCTCTACTAAAAAAATAGAAAGAAATTAGCTGGACAACTAAAAATATATAGAGAAAAAATTAGCTGGGCACAGTGGCGCATGCTTGTAGTCCCAGCTACTCAGGAGGCTGAGGCAGGAGGATTGCTTGAGCCCAGGAGTTTGAGGTTGCTGAGAGCTAGGCTGATGCCACAGCACTCTAGCCCGGGCAACAGAGTGAGACTCTGTCTCAAAAAAAAAAAAAAGTGTTCATGTCTCAATGGTGGAAATATCATTTCTACATTCTTCTTATACATATTTGTAATTTTTAAAAACAATGAACATGTATTATCTTGTGTTTAACAAAGGGGGAGGTGTAAAGCACCTTACCCCAAAGTGAGGCGACAATCAAGGACCGGGTCTATGGCGGCGGGCGGCGGGCTATGCCTCAGTCCCTGCCTGCCAGCTCTCCCCGCGGCTGCCCGCACCCCTGCCTCTCACCAGCCGCAGGTGGAGCCAGGGACCTGCGTCTGACCCTGGCTCCGGCACCGGCGAGCAGCGTGACCCTGAGCAAACACGGTAGCACTTCTGGCTTTGGCTTTTTTATTTTTACTTGTGGAAGGGAGATAATAGGCGGCCAGGCCACCTCATAGGATCAGAGGGTTTTGTGGTGAAATAAAAATGTGTGTATGTTCTGTGAGGACTGGAATGTTCTCTGGGCGGCCCGGTCCTGTCATGCTCTTGCCGTGTTATCATCTGTAATTCTGAGTGGTGGCTTTCATCCCAGACGGCGTTCTTCGGTGTTCACATCCCAATTTATTTGGAGGGGCCCGCCTGGTTCGTGTTTGTGGATTTTTACAGTCTCCTGAACCCTGGGTCACCAACAGCTGTTAACCTCCACCCAGTGGTCTCGGACACTTTCTTTGTGTTCGCCGCTGGTGGCTTTCCCTGTGATTTAATTTGCGAGAAGTAGAAAGGACTTCTGCCAACAGCGGTCTGCCCCGCCGGCCTGCCCTGACGGATTGTCACAAACGACTCCTTCGGGTGCGGGGAATGAAAGCTGGCGCTGGGCTGGCTCCTGCGCCTGCCGGGGCGACTCCTCTCCCCTCGGGTCGGGGAGGGCTGGGGTGCGCCCCCCGCACCTCCTCCCTCCCCGGGAGGTGTGGGGGGCTTTGGTTTTCCGCTTCATCCTCTGTGAGAATACACCTGTGTCAATTTAGACGTTAACACAGTCACCGGCAGGAGGGTTAGCTGGGCCACTCACCCCTGCCAAATATTAATACTCTCTCCTCTAGGGCACAGCCAGGTGGTAGGTGCTAAAAAAAAAAAAATCAAAAATCCTAGAGAACCAGCAGTTTCTAGCAATAGGGCTTTCAGATCTTTTAAAGATGTCCCTTTACCAAGTCCACAAAAAGGGCACCTACCTCCCAGGTGAGCCAGTGTGTGTTTCTGTTCACTTCTAGCCTCCTGGGTCACCAGACATGTGGAACTCTTCACAGCCAGCAGGCACTGCCCTCCCTGAGAAGACAGGGCGGCTCTCCTTCCAGCTACAAGCAATTCGTAATCCTCCGACCTCCCAGCAGGACGTTTGAGGTCCTTGTTTTGCAGGCCAGCAGATAGAATAATCTGCTAAAATGATATGAAATAGATAAGGAAGATATGTGTCTACGTAAGATGTGTGTGTGTGTGTGTGTGTGTGTGTGTGTGTGTGTGTGTGTGTCTGTTACTAAAGGAATTAGAATTAGAGAATCCCAGAGAGGTTTGGCAACTTACCCGAAGCCCCAGAAAGCCCACACAAAGTGGAAAACTGATGGCAAATCTCCCTTTTCTCGAGTCATTAAACCACGCTAAGCGCTGACCAGTGCCAGGGGAGAAGGAACGTACCCCACTGTTCGTAAGTCATTGTTCCCTCCGTGGGCATGGCTTGGGGCACTCCTCGCCTGGCTCACACAGATCCAACCAGGGGCCTGTCATTTACTCCTGAGCCCATGTCACTCTCCTGCCCCCAAATTCCTTAAGCACTCCACGTTCCCCACCAAATTAGGCAAACAAAACAAAACACCTCCTCAGCCCGGTGTAGATGACTTCTGGGGACACGCCCTGCACACATCCTGTTTATAACACCCACAAACACCCGAGTCCCTGCCCTGGGCCACGCACGGTGTTAGTCCCATGCAGCCTAAACCCTGTAGGCACATGGACTGAGCCAGGGTGACGCCTGATCCAGGCTCTGCCTGTCAAACCCTCCCCACAAGGCTGCGGGAACGGGACCCTCGACTGGAGGGCAGGCGGACACTGTGGCAGCCGCATCTCACCCACACGCGCGGACGAGCAGAGACGCTGCAACCAGAGTGGGGCAGGGAGGGAAGCGGTGTGACGGGTCTGTGGACAGCAGGCCCAGAGAAACAGTTTGCTGTAGTTGCCGGCAGAGCTTCTGTCCCGTCCCTCCCACAGCCCAGCTGTGCTCTGCCATTGAGTTTTACAAGGGCTGCCCTTGCAGCCCATTGATGAATCGTTTTTGTTTAATCTGCTTGAGTGGGCTCCTGTTACTTGTAACCAAACCATTCCTAAGACACTTAGCTCATGCTAGCGAGGAAGTGCACCAGTTCTGCTAGGAGAAACGGCTGCCTCTTTAGATAAGAATGTCTCTGGAAAGATACAGGGAGGGCATCACTGGAAGTGGTTAATGGGGGCTCTCAGTCATTCATATCTTAGCATGAACTAGTTTAGTGACTTAGTTCCTCCAAGATGTTCTAGCTAGTATCAGGGACATTCATGGGATGAAGGGTTTTAATGAAAGAAAAAAGGAAGAGAGATATTTTAGAGTATCTCAGGGGAGAGCAGGCATAGGTGTAGGGAAGGCACCTTCAGCTACTGGAAAATTCGCCCAAGGTTAGTCCTGCTCCCAGTAATAAGGAAAATAATTCATTATCATTATGACTCATTAGTATTTTTAATTTACATAATGCCTTTCTTCCAAAGAACTCATTATATCCATGGAGGTTCATTACGAGAAAGATTTGGGAGTGGAATTTATGTTGGGCATAGTCTTCTAAATATGGCAACAAGAACGATTATTACATGGGTACAGGACTTGAAGCAAATCTCTCTCTATAAACTAATTAAGAAGGGACGTAAAACTGTGTCAAGCCCAGGTAATGTTGAAGGAGAGGCGCTTAGTGTTCCTAAAGCATTGCTGAAGCCACCCAGTCCAGCCTCCAGATGTTAAATTCAGAGTATTCTCCAAATTATACAGTATTTGAGTATGATAGATTTTAATAGCATTAAAGGCAATTATTTTTGGATGAGAAAAATATATTGCAATTTTTAAACTTAGCATAAGAAAACTGATTGGAGCTTCCGTTAAGAAACCTTCAAAGCCACCTTGAATGAAAGCCACTTTGGTGACTCGCCAGTGGGCTATGTGCTCCCACCAGTTGTCCTATCTGCTGGAGAGAATCATTGCCCTTCTGCCCCTGGGAGGTGACTGGTGCAGATTTTCAGAGCAGACAGCTGCACGGGTGAATACCCTTTGGTACTTGTCCTTTTGTACAGTAACAGAAACATCCCATAGTGAGTCCAGGGGACTCACACACTGACTTTACAGGGCATATAAAGATGGTTTCAAAGATCGGATTACCTGGGGAAGCCAGCAGGACAGAATTCCAGAGAAAATGAGCCAATAGGCATTCAAGGCATCGGCTTCTCAAGGGGTGTTCTTGGTTTGGGGTCAGAGAGTGGTGAGGCTGAGTCAGGTCCTCCCTTGCCCCAACTTCAACTTGTCCCCTTATCCAGTTCCACTCACCCTATCAGCACTTACCAAGGGCCCGCTAAATGCCAGGCCCAGCGCTAAGCACGAAGGGTGCAGCGTGAGGGCTCCCTGCCCTCATGGCACTCCCCAGGCACTACCAGGCGTCACACGTGTCATTACGAGACTACCCTACACTCCCAGCAAGTGCTGGACTGCGGTGAGCTCATGGGGTGGGGCAGGGTGGGGTCAGGTCCACATGAGCAACGGAGTGACATTTCTGCTAAGACCCAAATGAGAGGCAGGAATAAGCAGGCAGAGGGGTGGGATGGGGCGTGGAGCACAGCCTGGATGGAAGAAGCCCTGAGGCTGGTGAGTTCACCCAGGGTGGCGGCAGCTGAGTGAGCAAGACAGGAGGTAGGGCAGGGCAAGGTGGGGCTGGAGCCTCGAAGGCTGACGCCAAAGTCAC